AGTAGGCATCTCTGTGTGTGGCGTGAGCAATGCCCCGACGGCCCAGTTCATATGCCTCCTCCACCGTCATGTCTTCCCGGTAACCGCTGTCCACCACACCGTAGGCGTAACTGTTACCACAGCCGGTAGAGAACATACGGCCGGAGAGACGCGTTCCATTATCATCCACATAGTACAAACCAGGGCCCTGGAGAGGACACAGTTACTCATTATGGTCTGCAGAGAAATTATTGTTTTATATTCAGGCCTCAGTTTTTCACAAGGATACAACAATACTTCCAAAAAGAGGTGTGACAATAATAATGTACTGTCTATTTGGATGGTGTTTGAGTTGCTTCATCAGTGATGTCTTGTATCTATTAATTGTCTTTTCAGGATTGTCTTTTTTAGGATTTCAGGATCGGACTTCTCAAGAAATAATATTTTAATGCAAAAATTTTGAGATGTATTCCAGCTGGTGACTTTGGAACCAAATACTTTTTGTGTGCCATACTGATATGTAGTTAGTTGTAAACTGTGGGTACATTTTTTTTGCTGTCTGTACCCACTTCCCTGTTTTTATTGCTATTGGTTCATTGGTTGCTTTATATATTCTTTTCTAATCTTAATGCATTTTACAATGATGAAGGCCATGTACTGTAAATATACATGAAGTGACTTATTATTTCTAGATGCTGCTTCATGGGAAGTGATAAAAGACACTGATTATAAAAAAGATTTTAATGTCTTTAGTACAGATTGTAAGACTGACACACACACACACATACACATAAACACACACACCCACAGCTTACCTCTTTGTCCCATCCACAGATCATGCTTCCCATGGAGAGGCCCATGCCTCTGTAACCTAGCATCATGTTAGACAGCAGCTTGGAGGCAGCAGCCACAGAGATCCTGTGGTTGTTCCTCAGTCGGTACAGCCTGGATGAAAAAATAATAAAATAAGTCACCAATATATTCATATGGAAATCAAATGACAAATCAATCAGTCATACAGGTTGGCCAAAACTTAGGGTCTGCCAATCCTGAAAAAAACAAACAAAAACAAACTCATGATACTCCTCCTGAATAAATACTGACTTTTCCTGACTTTTTTGTGCATCTTTTCAGTCAAAACTAGAATTAACACCTTGTGGTTGTTTGTCTCCTCCAACCATTTAAGTTGCAGCTGACATCCGTGTCTGTACAGACTCATATAGACTCATACAAGGGATTTGATAAAAGGTGTATTTTTTGGCAAAATGTGGAAGCATCACACACATCCTCCCAGTATAGCTCTGTTAAACAAATCAGGGTGATATGAGATGTGTGTTAGTTTTTTGTTGTACTTGATTGTTGTTGTGGAGCGTTTTGTTGTTAAATGTCTGTATTTAAGTGTAATGTATTTTTGTGTGTGGTTGTATTTGTCTGACAGTTGCCACGGACACAAAGAGAGTTTCTGAAAGGATAAATAAACAAAACTAATAAACTAACTAACCCTCAACCCATCAGCACAGAAGATTTATACAATCAGCACAATTTCAAGGTGGATACCCAAGATCAGTGTTACCAATTCAGTATCTGACCAAATATCTCCCCTTCTGTTCCTCAGTTATTATGTTGAATAATGGTCAGAAAAGTGTTTTTATACAACATTATGATGTCACTGTGGTGTCGACCTTTGACCTTCTGGATATAAACTGTCATCACTTCATCATTTTATCCTATTAGACATGTGTGTGTAATTTTGTGATAATCAGTGTGTAAATTATTACTTGTAAATTAAATAATACGTACTGTAACATGCATTTCATCACATGAACTCCACACAGGGAGACCTAATTTGGCCTAGGTGGGGCTCAAAGCCCAGACTGCTCAGATCTTTACTCAACTGCTGTATGAAAAAAGCTTTCTAATACATTTCTACATAGCACACATGCAGTGTGCTATGCAGTACAACACCAAAACGACAGATATATAGAACATTAAGGGATCAACATTCAAATACTGCATGACAAACCTGCATTCTTTGGCCAGGAGTCTCTCCCAGTACTGGCAGTCTGCGGCACTCCCTGACATGGTGCCCAGCAGGTAGGGATTGATCTCTATGACCTTGTTGACGTCGTTGGATGCTGCAGAGCCGTGACATATTTGGGAAAAGGAGACACTTTAGTGACCAAGATTACAGGTGGAAGCATTAAGCATCCCAGTGTAGCAGCACCCTGGTTACACCTGTTGCCTTATTGACTTTTTGTGATCATCTTGTTCATGGTCCCTACATTTTACATCTCAAAGCTCCATGCCTCTTTGATACCTTTGGTCCTTGAGTTGATGACAGTCTTTTCCACACAATGAACAGTACGTTGGCTGGGCAATATCACTGACTGGGTCATGCCTTTGTAGAGGCTAAAAGGCTGTCACTCAGGGGCGTAAATATAGACAGCGCAGGCAGTGCGGATGCACTGGGGCCCATAAGGTGGAAGGGGTGGCCCATGTGAAGAAGAACTCACATTAAAATAAAAATGGTGCTATTTTCCATACATGCCCTAAATAAGACAAACCCATCTCCATCATGGTTTTCTGGTTTTGTAAAACAGTGTCAATCTGTAACAAATTATAAACTTATTCTACATAAACTATCTAAAAAACTATAATTTACCAATAAAAAACTATCAAGTTAAACTAAACCTATTTTCTTTTGTAGATTTGTCTTATACAGATATGTGATGATGATTGCTGTGTAATATGTATGTTAATGTGTCCATATCAAGTATCTGCAAGTGGATGTAACGTAACAGCGGCAGTCAGACACACTGTTGCTAAAATATACACCTAAAACTGTGTGTGTGTGTGTGTGTGTGTGTGCTTCATAACTTGCAACTAGGGCATAATAGGGCCCCTCATAATAGCAGCCCACTGTAACTACCTTACGCCACTGCTGTCACTCTCTGTGAAATGAAATGATATGCTGAATTGCATAACTTTTCCCACACTTAATCCAACTTTTTGTGCAGTTCCACCTCTTCTAACATTTTCCAGGGATGGAAAAGAAGACATGCATTTCTTTATATGTGTATTTACCTAAGTAACGACCAGCTGAGGCTCTGGAGTCCACAGCCACGATGACTCCATGTCTGAACTTGAAGGCCAGGGTGGTCGTACCATGGTTCAGGTCTATACACACACCTCCGTCACGGCTGCAGGATTGGATAAACCCGGAGGGCTGGAATGAAATCATAAGAGGGATCTCAGTGGGGCACATGATGCGTAATGGCACTGTGTGAGTGTGTGTGTGTGTGTGTGTGTGTGTGTGTATGTGTATGCGTGTTGATAAAAGAACACGAAAGTGAAAATCTATCACTACCTTATATTCTTTGACAGTAACTCGTGATAGTTAAGATAAATGCATGATATGAAATTTCATGAGACGCAAACCTGCACCGCAAACTGAAATCCACAGACGCGTAAAATAACTTGAACCACACCGCGTCTGACGCTTCATGTTTGCAGCAGGTTTACCGGATGAGATTCTGAATATTATTTTCTTGCCAAAACTCGGTGAAATGATACTCACATCTACACCCAGAGGGACAGCAAATTCGTTAGTTTTGGCCCCGAAGTTGTAGTGGTTGGTTCGGTCGACGAGGTGCGTCTGTCCTGCTGGAAGAATCTGCCCACGGAGTTCAGCATAAGGCTTAAAACCAGTTACTTCGAACAGAGCCATTGTGTATTTAAGTTAAGAAACTATATTCTGATAATATTTTATAGTTTAGGTGTGAAGTTTTCCAAAATGACGAAGGTGACTGAAAGAGCGTCAAGGATAATTTCCTTGTGCGTGACAAAGGATTCGAAAGTGAAAGGGTTTATAAACTATTTTATTGTAGTCCTGTCCTCTCGAAATAACACGCCAAATTAGTCAGCCACACAAAATCTTTGCGCAAGTATGACAACATATATTCCTGCAATCTTTGCTGTAAGAAATAATTGATTAAAAACTCAAAACTTTGCAATATTCCGTTTAAATAAAAAAAAATGGCTCAAAACAGCATAAACCAATCGGAGTGCACGATTTTTTTCTCATCATCAGTCTCTATGCGGAAGTGCAGCACTCAGGTTTGGGGAAGCCTGCAGAAGTAATAATGATAATAGTAACCCCCAATCTAATGGAATTAGGGCAATAACATGTTAATGATGTAGTATAACCTATACATGACAATAACATGCAGCAATCTATAGGCCAGGGATAGTCATCTTGTTTTACCTTGGGGCCAGTTTTGCAAGATAACAGTAGGCCAGGGGAAACAAACATTATATAATAAATGAATTGCATGTTTTTCAAAATTAAGATGGTTGTTGTCCTCACTCTTCTTAGAAAGAGGCAAATCCAGTAGCAGTGCATCACAGCAGCCCCACACAGGTCAGGTGCATGCAGGGGATAGCCCAAGCCTCTGTGGTTCAGGGATCCTCCCCTGGCAGTTTAATAAACAAGCTCTATTTTGCCTTTCTAATGCACTTTGGCACCTTATTTACATTAAAAGTACAAAAATATTCCCAGTGTGAATCCATTTATTTTCACTGTAAATAAGCAAATGGTCAGTGAGCCACCTTGCACCCATGGGCACATTATGAGAAAATGGACCCCTGGGCACAGATATGCAAAGGGCCCCACCACCAAGACATACAGACTTTGTGGTGTTTTTTCCTCTTCTTTGTTGTTGTTTTGCATCTTTCTTAAGTCATAATGCATCTTTTTGTGGTTTTGTGTCTCTGTATAATTTAATGAGTCTTTTCTTGGTCAGAGTGACATTTTGTAGATGAAGGCTCGATAAGCCCATTGAGTAATTCATGCATGCTGGCACCCTCTGGCCCACAGGCTGTAAACTGACTATACTATAAGCTCCTCTTCACATTGGATTTGTTATGATAAGCACAGGGTGTCTATTTGGGGACTCAAATTTACAATCAAGTCAGTTAATAACTATAGAACATAAAAATAAATCAGGCAACTTCAAATGAAATTTTATTCAATGACATTTTATTATAATCCCGATTGTAAAAACATGCTACAGTCTTCTCATTGTTGCCCGGTAGCAGTCTCTCAGCTAAATGTAGTACTAACTCCTGCAGTATTTCTGACCTTTTCCACATTACAGTGAAGCATAGCAGCAGAGTAGAAACCATGATGACAGTGTTTATCTAATATTTGAGATGTTTCACTTCTTATATTTAAAAATTAGTGAGTAACATATTAAATTGAAAGACTTTTACTGTTTATTGTTGTGGTATTTATGTGGTGAGAATGTACGTCGTGACTCAGGCTGTATCCATCTGCTGCACGGTCTCCTGTACAACTTCCAGCTTTAAGGGGACTTCTTTCTTTGTCAGAACCTGTGTCGTGCCTGGACGATATTTGTATTTTATTTTCCTAGGGGAGAGGGACAGATGGAAAGATGGGTGAAGCTTGTCAATCAATCATTATAGTTTTGTTTAACAGAATAAATAATATACTAATGTAGGTTTTCAAAATTATATATATTTTTTAGTGTGTGTTAAGTTGTTGAAGAATTAAAAAAAAGCTTAGGGGGGAAGTCGCAATTTAGCACACAAAACGTTTATGACAATAACAATATTCACTACTCACAGAGAAAAGAATAATCTGATTTGCAGATCTTGAATAAAGTCGTACTCATACTGGCCTACCTGTTGTCTTTGAACTCTGACACCTGGTAGGGTCTGATGTAGTCTACTCCCTGCCTGGTGATGACACAGATGTCGATGTTGTTGCCTGAGCCGAGGTCACTCATGATGCCTGCGTGGATGGCAACACGCACGAGCTCCTTCGCCTTCTCCAGCTGAGAGAGTTACAAGAATTCAGGGAGACGATGGGTAGAGGGGGAACCAGAGACATAGAGGAGAAAACAGAGTTATTCATCAGTTTTAAAATCCATCTACAGCAGTACCTAAATGCCTAGACACACTTTTTCAGTTTTTCTCTTTGGTAGCAGTCAATAGCAAGAAGAGAGAATGGTTCTTAACATTTTCTCAACTACTTGCATAACCAAGAGGGTTATTTTTATGAGATTTTAACAGTACGATTATATAGAATATATCATGGTTTCGTGGTATCATGATATACAGTATTACACAGTTATTATTATGATTATTATTACCACTATAACTACATTGTAATAGTTACAATGACCTTTACAGGAATAAAAACAGATTTTTTTTGCTTGAACAAAAACAGGCAGTCAAGTAGGAAAGGTGATGCGTACACACAAGTGAGATTCTCTGTGCAGTTGCATTATATTTTAATACTGCCGATAAGCAAATGGACACGATATAAAAATGGTCAACTGTCATATCACTGTATACGGTTTCATGTTATGCAGTACTGCTTTTAACTTAACTGCCACACTGCAGTCATTCAATTAAAGATGCCCAAAAATAAGTGAAATGATTTTGTGATCATATCTAAAAGATCACATCTAACAATAACTTTCACAATATGTAAAAACAGTTGTCAGGGTGGCGTACCTCCAGGTCAGGTTTGAACCCATCCTCTAAAATCCCAAGAGCAGCTAGATCACCAGATCCTGCATGGACACAAAGTGATGGCAAATGAAACAGACTGGATGTAGTGTGAGAGTGACTAAAACACAAAATGCAGCAAATTAATATGTATAATGTATTTTATATTGGTAAAATATAGAATCTCCGCCAGACACTAAAATAGAACAGTTTTTATATGATCTGGTATTGATAGTTCAATCTTTAACCATTTTATACATAAAATGACACATTTGAAACATAAAGCACAAAACCAGGTGGTTAGCCTGATAAATAACAGTCAGCATGGCTGAACAGTCAGAGAAATGAGCATCACAAAAACTCTGCCAGCAAAAAATCCCCCCAAAATATGTCACAATAACAGAACTGCCATTGCTTATAGAAAAGTATCATGTCACCTACCCATTGCAAGGTAGGGCACCTTATTTACACTCCCATATGGCCCCACTGTGTACAGGTGGTTCCCAGTGCAATCCACTCCTCCAAGTATAAGATTGGCACCAATTTGGCCGTGATACCTGATGGGCATAGAGAGCAAAACTGTGATTAACACCACAGTTAAATGACTTGTGAGTTTAACAAGTGTTTAACTCATTCACACACCTGTAGATACAGGTACATGTGCAACACAAACCTGTACAACATATCCTGTAATATGTTGACGGCCATGACGACTCGAGGGTTCCTCCCGCTGTTCAGAGAGAATATGGTGAGGTTGGAGGAGAGCAGCTCTGTGGTCTTCTCTGTATCTGCTGCTGTGCCTGCTCCACAACAACTAGGGAAAGTAAGAGAGAAATTATGTGAATGTGAAAAGAATATGAGGGAAGAAAAATAAAAAGGGTACTGGGAAGATAGAGAGAAGAGAGGGGAAGATCAGAGAGAAGAGAAAGAGCAAGACGTAGAGTGATGACTTCTTTTTCAAGACACTATTTTGCTTCAACAGACTCAGAAATCCATCAAACAAACAACAGAGTGACTGATTATACTGAGTAATCACTTTTGGTCTCAGTGTATCGTGTATGAGACTCACTATATATTTGGAGCAATGTAGTGGATCTTGGCACACATCTTGTCAGCCACCACTTCACTGGAGGTAGCTCTTGTGTCTGCTCCCAGCACCACCCCATCCTGCACCAACACAGACAAATTGAGATACTAGTAACCCAATTTATCATGCAAATTACATTTATGTGCCTGACATGCATTACAACAGCTCCATGGAGAAAGTGCTTATTTCTCATACAACTACAACTGTAGTTGCCCTTGGGCAAGGCATTAAAATCTCAGTTGATCCAGTGGAGCTGCCCGGTCACCAGTACAGGATAACTGTGAAAGAAGTGGGCAGCTTCCATATGAAATGTGTGCAGTGGACATTAATTGCATTATGTTTTGTCAAAGTTATGCATTGGGACTTAATAAAAAAACTTTGCCTTTTCAGTGATGCACTGAAAAATACATCTGGTAAAAGTGTTTTGGTGAATATTTTGAATTAAATATGAGTATTTTCATCAGTGCAGTTTACACAGCTTTATATACTCGCCTTGAACACAACTCCTGCTATGGTGGTGCCTGTTTTCATCGCTTTAGGTGTCTGTCCCTCACCAAAAAGGCCCTCTAATGCAGCATTCCTAGAGTGAGGGAGAAAGGAGGAGGTAACAGGGGGGTACGCCGCTTAATGTTATAGATATCCGTCAACACTTTATTACTATATTGTTTCATTGATTAAACTTATACGTAAACAGGAAAAAGTTACTTTCACTTTTGATCTCGATGAAAGCTTAGTGTAACTGCCAGTTTGATTTATTTTTTTTTCTATAATAATTCAGTCTGCTGCTCAGAAGACATAGATAGAAAACCATACCTTGCTGCGTTGTCGAAATTAAACCCAGCTGCAGGAGTTTCGAGGACATTTGATAGCGCCATACTGGATCTGACTGCGTCTTCTCTGCGCGTCTCAGTGCGCCTGAGGTAGCTGTTCTGAGCGTCACCTCTCCCTCTTCTCTTTCGATTTTGGAGTGAAAATGGAGAAACACTGCACGGGCTCACAAGTCAAAGGAGTCAGCACAGGGGTGAGTAGATCCGACCCGGTTCACTTGTATCTTTCCTGAAGCAGCACCAGATCATATTACGCGTAAAAATGATCGATAATCGATTCCGCGGATGAACAGGTGATGCTATAGTACCTGAATAGTAAGCAAACACAACGTCAAATGACATCCACCGGACATTTCATGTGTTTTATTACAAGTGTATTGTTTACATGTCAGCTCTGAACTAGTTTATTCCTTACATTTCTATAAAGAAACAACTGGCTGCGCTTTCGTTTTCAGTTAATATCCACTTATAAACCATTCCTCCACAGAACTCAAAATCCCAGAATTCATAGCTTTGCTCAGTCTGCTGAATGGACGCGAAGCTATGAGGAAAAAAACGACATGTCTGTGATGCTGTATAACCCAATGTTATGTTTGTCTTCTCTCATATTTGGCTTAATATAAATATTTCTAAACACTCTCTTCTCCCTCAGACCACCATCCTGGCTGCCACTTTTAATGGAGGGGTCGTGATTGGTTCAGATTCCAGGGCTTCCATTGGAGGGTGAGGATGTTAACACAATACACTAAAGTTGCCATTATTGTTAATCACGTACACAGGACGGACTGCTTGATGACGTTCATGATCAAGATAAAATTTTTGAATGATATGGCAACTTCTCGGGGCCCCAGCTCCAGCAACTGCCTGCATGTTACATTTATCCAGTAAAACTACATTTTATATAAACTTCCAAATTTATTCAGTCAAATCTGGGGTAGATGGAAACCTGGAAAAATCTAAAAAAGGCAGATTTGAAAATGTGTCCTTTTGTAGAGCTTCCTCTCTCCCTCCTCTATCCTAGTGCTTCCCATTGATTTATTTAATTTTATTTAATAGTAGACTTGAACACTCAGCCCCTACGTGCCCTCTCTCTCTCTGTTTATCAGACAAGACAAGAATTAGCTAGCTAGCCACCCCACAGTCTCTTCTCCTCTCTTCCAGCCACTGTGGATTGCTTCCCTGGACAGAGAGCTGGCAGCAGCTCGGGGGAGGGACCTTAAGTTGGTGGTTATAGTGGCTCAGATATGGTCAGCAAAATCCCTCAGCTCCAGGTGTCACAGCAAGCTGGTGGCCAGCAGCAGCACCGAGTCTAACCTGTGTAACGGCAGCAGCAGAAAGTCTGCTGATCTGGCAGGAAGTCAGGGCTGTCCGGTCCCCCTAGCTGGAGCTTGCGCTGGCAGGATTGGGGCTGTTGCAGCTGCTGACTGGAGGTCCGTCTCTTCAGAGCTGCTGCACACTCTTCTTCCAGTGATAGTGGTGTGTAGCGGCAGGGACTGAGGTGGAGGAAACACTGTGATTCAAGGCTCTAGCTAACGTTAGCTACATAAACACCTGTGAGCCTTTAGCTCCAGTGCCGTAACAGAAACACATGAGGCCCCCCCGCAGCTAACCCGAGTGTGTTTAGCTCTCTGAAACACTTCACTGGTATTGACAGGTGTTATGTTTAATGGAAAGACCATTTTAACCAATCAGAAGTCATAGTCAATACCGGAATAGGGAAGTGCAGAAAATAAAAACAACCCGACCCACAAAAGTAGCGCGACCTAATTCAACAGCAGAGGCGCCTGAACGATCAACTACACTACCGCGAAAGCAGCGATGGGCCTGCCAACGGAGGTCTGACCCAGCCGGATCCAGGCCTGTTGCTGCTTTCGTGGTAGTGTAGTTGGGGTAGCTAGCAACAGGAGCAGCCCCCTTCGTTGGTCGTTAGGTCGAGCAGCTGGATATGCCATCCAAAGAGAGTAGATAGCACGCTCACAAATAAAGTTAGCACCAGCATGTTTGTCTGGTCTGCCATTTCACTAGCTATTTACCGTTGCTCTGACGTCAAACAATGGAGACAGGTAATAAAATACTGCGGTTATCCTATCTACACGCAACCGCTGGCACCGGAGTCTTCCAAAAACTTCACCCTGGACTCCGGTTTCAAAGAAATGCGGTGTTGGGGGCCCAAAAGTGTGGTTGCATGTGGCCAAACAGCCAAATCGCATAGAATAATACACGGTTTCAGAAATACACGGGTCCGTGTGGACTAGGCCTTAGTCCGTCTTCCTTTCTTGGGTTGCTTTGCAGTGTTCAGTTGTGTTGCTAATGCTGGAATAACAACTTTCACTGCAGGATTCTTCGCTTTTGAATCAGACTTTCACTGAAGTGACGTGCACGTGCATCTGTCTTTGTAGAATAGCCAATAGGAATGCCCTGTCTTTGAAATGACCTGTGATTGGCTAAAGTCTCCTGTTATGGCCTCGAGATTTTCATTAAAAAAGAATGAAAACACAGCAAAGAGGAGGGGTAGAAGTTTAGTTTTCTCTTAGACCATTTGAATTACAATATGCTCAAAGTTTATTATGGGATTTTTGCTCAGTGTGCCGAAATTAAACTGCCTACCACAGCTCTAAGTTTTTATGAATTGCTCTACTGAACTCAGTGGCTAAATGTAACTGTTAACTCAAGTACTGTTCTTTAATACAATCTTGATGTACTTTACTTGAGTATTTACATTTCATGCTACTTTATACTCCTACTCCACAGTTCAGAGAGAAATATTGTACTTTTGATTGCATTTTATTTGACAGCTAGTTTCAAGGTACTCGACAAAACACAATTTACATGTATAAATAAATCAATTAAATTATCTTAAAAAATATTGTGCATTGTATAGATTACACTATCCAGTGGTATAGGAAATTAAAATTAACTCGGCTTGACCTATAGCAGTAAAATGCTGCTTACACATTGATGCAACAGAGGTAAATATCCAATAATATAATGTGTCATATTATAACACTTTACAGGAGCCATTGTTCTGCATTAAGTACTTTTACGATTGAAACTCTGAGTAAATTTTGCTAATGTTACTTACATACTCATACTTACACAACATTTATGCGGGACTGATATTGCTACTTTTACTTAAGGAAATGAGTAATCTTTCCACCACTGATAAAACTAGCTTTCACTGTCAGCTACAAGTAAACTGAAAACTTTGATACTCATTCCATACATGCAGACATTTAAACCTGAATCAGAGGGTTGTCTATTATTTTCCTGTGAATGGTCAATAACTACACAGAAGCATGTGTAAGACTTCACTTCTATACTATGATGACCTGATTGTCTTAATGATAGCACATCTATCCAGAAGTTAAACAACGTCTCTTCTCCCTGCTGCAAATGTGTATGTAGTATCTGAGAGGTCTCTTTGCATTATGGCTTTGTTCATCCTCTCTTTGTCTCTCTTTTCAGTGAATATGTATCATCTAAGACAATCAACAAGGTGATTCAGGTTCATGACCGGATCTTCTGCTGCATTGCTGGCTCACTTGCAGATGCTCAGGCCGTCACTAAGGCTGCAAAGTTCCACCTGTCCTTCCACAGGTGCCACATACACTCATATGAATACTTTGGCACATATTACATACACAGAGATATTATGCTCATTACATTGAAATAATACTTTTTAATCCCACAGGTTATTTTGGTTATTTTTATTCCTCCATGACTCCTAGGCAAGGACAGTCATACACAGTTATGTGAATGCAAACTGACATTCTGTATGTGCTCCAACAGTCTCACACGCATCACATACAGCAGTGAAACCCTTTTCTATCATTGAATAAACTGATGACCCCTGACTAAGTGATGTATTTTATGGATATTTCATATTATATTTAATGCCTAACAGTGAGTGTACACAACAACTAATAAACTGTATGATTACCCCAAATAGTGAAGACAGTAATTGCAGGAAGTTTGTGTTAAATGAGAGATTTGGATGGATTTTGAGTCGATTATTACCTGTAAATATTGCATCAGGGTTTAGTTTTACTGATATTTTTAAGAACTTCAAAAAAAATTTCTATATTATGTTTTGTTTTGTTTTTCTTCATTTTTTAACAATCACACATACTGGACAGGCTTCTGTTTTTTGACAAATTCAGTATTTTCTTCTTTCCAATGGTTGGCAATTGTTCTATTAGCTCTTGGGGTGTTTTAATTGCGTACTTTGTCGATGCAGGAGGAGTGTGGAGTGTGACTGTTCTGTCAGTATAGCTTGTGTTTAGGTCTTTGGCTTTTATCTTGAATAATAATCTCAACTTTAACCTCCCACCCCCATTTGCAGTGTCCAGATGGAGACTTCTCCACTGGTAATAGCAGCAGCATCTGTGCTGAAAGAACTGTGTTACAATAACAAAGACGAGCTGCAGGCTGGCTTCATCACAGCTGGCTGGGACAGGAAGAAAGGACCACAGGTAGGTAGTTGCTATGAAGACAGCCAGATGTCAGAGAAGCAGTGATAATGACAATAGATAAGTCCACCTTGCAGCATTTAGATTCACTTCTAATATTCTCCATCCTTCTCCAGGTTTATGTTGTGTCTCTAGGTGGAATGTTAGTCGGACAGCCGGTTACCATCGGTGGCTCAGGCAGCACTTACATCTACGGCTACGTTGACGCTAAATACAAACCCAACATGAGCAGAGAGGAATGCCTACAGTTTGCCACTAATGGTACTGTTGTATTATTTTACTAACGCACCCAAACATTTGTGCTTGTTTTGTCAGTAAGTTCATGTCAGGATTCTAAAATATTTATTGGAATTGTGATTCAATGAAAATATGAATATGAAGGAAGGCGCTAACAGATGATGATTAATGCTTGGAAAATCTTTGCTGAGTTTGACACAAAATATTTAACTTAAGGTTTTATTTCAACATGTTACGATCTTCAGTAGCACGTGAAGTTTGCTCAGCTGTCACGGAAATAACCTAAATATGGAAATTTGACCTGAAATGAAAAGTAAGATTAATTTTCAGATTCACACTTAGGGGAATTATATATTGTTACATATTCAATATCCAAAGATCTGCAGTGTTGCATGTGCCTCTTTTATAAGAAGAAGGCTTCTGATAGGAATTAAGGGAAAGAGTTCAACAAAAAAAAAAATTAAGTTCATCTTAACATTTGTTTTTTACTTAGCAGCCGTAGAAGCTGTATAAATATTACAGACTTCTTGTCTGTCCTTGTTTGACTTGACCTATATTTCTCCTGCTTGTTGCTCCGGTTTGTCTTCCTTCCTCCTCCGCCCTCCCTTTGTTTCACACCTCTGTCTCTGTGCTCACAGCTCTTGCTCTGGCCATGGGTAGAGACAACGTCAGCGGAGGCGTGGCTCATCTGGTGGTGATCACAGAAACTGGGGTGGAGCATGTAGTTGTACCTGGTGACAAGCTGCCAAAGTTTCATGATGAGTGACCACCTTTAAGCTACCAATAAAATTTGATTTTTTTTTCCAATATGGAGTAGTTCTTGAAAACCATAAACCACAGTTTCATCACATATTTGCTCTGTAGAACTGGGATGTAACAAAATATACATGCACTCATCTGAAGAATAAATCAGACACATGAAAATGAGTTATTTTGCTGCCAATGAAAAACTTTGACTAAACTGTTGAGTGCTTCTTATTATGGTAAGATGCACACTATTTTCCAAAATTCCACTCTTGACTATTGAAATGTAAGTATATCCATCTTAAAGCAATGTCTCTTTTTGTTTTTTAATGTGTCAAAACTACATGTTTTATGCAGTTTTTTTAATATAATTTGTGGAAATATGTTAAATAAAAAAACCAAAAAAAAACCTAATTGTCCTTCCTCCATCTTTTTTAAATTGAGTTCTATGTTTCAAAATATCTTAATGTGTCTGTGACAAGGCCATAGTCACAGAGACAACAGTGTGGGAGACCAAATCTGCTGGGGGGTCTGGTTCCTTCCACAGAAAAAAAAAAAAATTGAAAATCGAAAACTCATGTCCTATTATTTATCATAAGTACAGGAACACAGCACCATACATGAAATGTACTACTGTCTACATAAATTACATATGTAGTGCAAAATAAATTGACAGTTTAGACTTCACTTTGGTAAGCTGACAAGTATAACCTGATAATTTAAGTTGAGTGGCCCTGTGAGCCGTGATGGCTGCCTTGATATGTGTTTACTGAAATGTTGCCTCATATCATATTAAGGTCCTTTAAGTGTTCTAGTCCGTACTGTACTGTATGTATGTAGTGTTTTGTAGCAACAGAATGACTTTCTGGCCCATCCAATCAAATAGCTATGCCATCACAAAGTCAACTGTATACTTGCAAAGTACACGATCCGCACTGAGTTGAAATATGCGCACATTTCAGTGATACTCCTGTAGTTTCAATGCGAGTGAACAGCTCGTTGCAGAGGAACAACTTAACTTTCAATTTCGATTTAATTCAGGAAAACATGGAGTCCGTCTGATGTTTGAAGGCTTAATTTGTTCAAAACCAAACGCTCCGTAAACAATTTAAGAGCAGTAAAGGCGATTTCCGAAAGCAAGAGAACGTTATACTTTATATAACCGGGACACCTCGACTGAACGCTTCGGTTTGCACCTGGCGTCACCATTACTTCCCTGGCAGACTGGTACAGTCGTTGTTGTCGTAACCAGATTAACAGCATGTTGGAAGAATCGGGGCCAGAGTGGTTGTCTGCGGAGGTGAAAACCGGGGTGAGTATAAGATTTGTAATGTTTGAAAAATTTGGTGGTCTATTAATGTGCGCAGCGCTGAAACCTTGTGACTTTCTGGGCCGCATGTGGAATTGCGGATGAGTGGAGTGAATTATTGAAATAGCCTATTTAATGCTTTTACCTTTGTTTGTAGACAACCATCATTGCCATAGAGTTTGATGGAGGGGTCGTGCTGGGGTCTGATTCCCGAGTGTCTGCAGGGTAAGTTGGTGCGTGCGTGTGTGCGCGCGCTTCTGTTTGCATGCACGGTGTGTCCAGTTCTACCTGCAAAAATCTTTGCTAAGACACCAGGTATTCTTAAAGTTCACATGCATACTGACCCGAAATCCTTCCACCTCGCCATCATCGCTGACATGCAGAATCCCCCCCTTGTTTGGATTAATTTTAACTTTTTTGTTATTTCACAGAGTAGGCCTACATGTACCGAAACAATGAAATGCAGTGTAGCATCTAACCAGAAATGCAAAAAGTGCAGAGAAATGTGCATATGTTTAGTAGGCTATGTAAAAAAAAAAAGAAGGGGTAAATATGAACCTGCCAAGATTTACACAGTATGAACAACCCACAATCCACACTCCCTTTTCATCCCTCCACGCAGGGCATCAGTGGTGAACAGGGTGATGAACAAGCTGTGTCCCCTCCATGATAAGATCTACTGTGCTCTGTCAGGCTCTGCTGCTGATGCTCAGACCATCGCTGAGATAGTCAACTACCAGCTCGATGTCCATAGGTAAATACACACTAGAAGACAGATAAACTTGTTACCCTTTATCAAATATAAAACATATATGGACTATTAGTATACTGCTGTGTTTGGAGGTGCCTCCTGATTCCAAGTACACCGACACAGCCCACGAAATGAGTAAGGACTTCTATTTTGCACGTTTTATATATATTTATGAGCTCAGATAATAATATCACTTAAGTGTGTAAATGTTGTTTGTGAAGCTTTCTAATCCTGCCAGACATTAAAATTCTATGAGCAAATCTCAGTATAATACAGAAATTTCCACTGAGTGAAATAATTTAGCTTTAAAGTTTAACATTCATCACCAAGTTTCACTACTGGCAGCTTAAATCTAAAGATATTAGTTTGTATCTGCCTTCAAAAGTGCTTGTGAGTCTAAACTATAATGCACACCGCATTTAATTTTTATGGGAGACACTGTTACGGTAAGTTTTTTCTGTGTCTTCCTCTGTCAGTACTGAGATAGATGAGGACCCCCAGGTTTGCTCAGCTGCAACTCTAGTGAGGAACATCTCGTACAAGTACAAGGAGGAGCTGTCTGCACATCTCATTGTGGCCGGCTGGGACAGAAGAGATGGAGGACAGGTCAGTAAACACATGTAGTTGACTCCATTCTGGAGGGAAGAGTTTCAGGCTTAAAGGTCCTGTATATGACATTCAGAGCATTATTCTAGCAGCAAGTAAGTATTTGCAGTGTAAAAATATAGTGCAGTAATGGCATCCTGAGCAGAGAATGAAGCCACACACCCTGTGTGTGTGTTGTAATCCCAGCTTCTCTTTTCTTCATCATGGTAGCAGGGCCGGTCACATGTTCATGTTAGTGCATACGAGTCTGTGTGTGTGTGTCCCACTGGCTAGCTAACTGCCCCAGCCCTGCACTGCGCTCATACGTCAGTTACAGCTGACATCACTGTCCCACCCATGTTAGCACCATCAACTCTGTCAGGACTGTTGCCAGTGTTAGCACTGTTTGCTTTGTTAGCACAGGTAGCTGCTAGCCACCAGCTCATCTACCTCTTTGTTGAGATTGTGTGTAGGCAATCCTGACTTAAATGTTAGATTTGCTCTGAATTTTGCATACAGCTCCTCTAAGCAAGAAAGATTACTGGGAAAAATAATGTAATGATGTCAAAATTATTGTTTGCAACTTTTGCTAAATTGATAGTGAAATTTCTTAGATTGCTTAGATCTTGTCTAGCCAACACCCATTTATAACTATTTATAATATGAAGTTTATGGCACAAGTGCATTTAGGATTTAGTCAACTCCACTTTTTTTGCTGGTTAAATGGCACATGATCCTGGTGCAAAGTAATACGCAATGGACAAATGGGTTATATTTATTCCCTTAATGAATCATAGGTGTGGTTTTGGTGTAACATGAATTCAGTCAGTCAGAGTGTCATCTCCCATTCCCTTTAAAAGCCAGTGTGCCTGTACCTGGCCCATTGTTCTCACATAGTGGATTCGTCAAATTTAAGAAGTGAGCAGCTTTCTGACAGAGTAATGCAGTTCGAGGCATAATGTCACTGCAGCAAATATCGTGGGACATTTCAGAAGCAAAACAAAAAACTGTAGTTATAAACTTAACAGAGGAAACAGAAATTAATGTTAAGCCTCTGAAGTAATCATTGAAGTTATGTTGCTTCTTGTGTGTAAATGCCACAATGTTTCCCTCGTCTGCTCTGCTCTCTACAATGTTCACATTTTAGAGAATGTGATTAATAACTTCCTTATCAATAATGTATTAATTTATCCACACACAATCTATCAGCTCCCTCTGTGTTTAACAAGCAGAGTGTATGTGCATTGTTAACCTGCCTATGTAGGCACATGTTACTATCTGAATAATGTGCCCTTTAAAGCTGCTACAAGGAACTTTTAACTGGATATTCAAAAGTCTCTCGTTTCTGCTGATGTCTGTGCGTGACCTACAACAGCAAATGAGACCATCGGTGTGAAGATAAGCTATTTCTATATAGTTTATATCCATACCTTTAGGAAACTGGCTCCGGGTCTGCCACAGGTTGCTTCCAGGACAAAACGATTTACGGCACTCAGACGGCACACGTCATCTTGCCTAGCTGTTTGCATTTATAGTGACTCTTATAAATAGTGGCTGTTCCTCCTCCTCGACCCGACATCTGCGGGGAGTTAAAATAGCAGCAATCACTGGGTAAAAGTTCTGTGAAAGCACTGGACTCACCAACAGTCAGCCACGTCTCAGTCACACAGAGAAAATCCAATCCTCGGGAAGTCAGGAAATTCTTCAGGATAAACGTTTTTTTCGCTAGCGATCTAGCATTTACCAGCCCAATCCTGGCAGGAGCCGGCAGGTCCACGGCGTTAGCTGTCCGGGGAGCCACACACAGAGGCCGCAGGTTGCGCAGATTCGTGTGGGGACGAGGAGAGTGGGGGCCGCGGGGCTGGAACACCTCATCCGGGGCGACGACAGGTACCAGCCAGGCATCGACAGGGTCCAGCGAGTGCCGAGAAATAAAGAGGCTAGGCACCGCTCCATACTCAGTCCAAGAAGCCGTGGAAGTGCTCGTCAAACAGGCCTTCTGTCTTACCAGCCGACCGCTGCGTTTACCCCGGCGGCGGTGGCGCTTATGCCGGAGAGGTGGAGCTGGGGTGCGGCAGAGGTGAGCTGGGATCCCCGATAGGAGCAGGGGCAAAGTTTTCCCGTCTTGTTGTTTCATTCATCCCCAAAACAAACACATGCGTGAGCCAGGTAAGCGTCTTTACGGCAATACGTGCTAGAGCTCATGGGAAATGTAGGCTTCATTCCGGCAAAACACTACCACTTTTGTCCACAGGGTCGCCAAAATCAACTCAAAATGAAAGTTCCTTGTAGGGGCTTTAAGTAGCAGTAACAATACTGTGCCATTCTGACTTTTGACCAGGTTTTTGTTGGTCAATGGCACAATTTAATCGTTTCCTGCAGCCTCAAAATAACAATGAGGCAACAATGTGACAGACCAGACAAACAGAGTGGCGCAAGTACATAGCTACTTACGCAGCTTGGGTGCTGGCCATGAAAATGACATCTGTGTCAGTCTAAAACTAGCAATGACAGTTGTGGTGCACTGTGCCTGTGCTGGGTGTAAGATAGGGTCCTTAATGTTATAGGTGTTTATACAGAATGATATTGTGAACTGTCTTTCTCCTTTCTGTGTCTGTGCCCTCTGACCTCTCTCAGGTGTTTGCAACCCTTAATGGTCTCCTAACAAGGCAGCCATTTGCAATTGGAGGCTCTGGCAGCTCATATGTTTATGGGTTTGTTGATGCTGAGTATCGCAGGGGCATGAGCAAGGAGGAGTGCCAGCAGTTTGTTGTCAACAGTAAGTTGTTTTTTTTCCATAGAAAGTTTTTTTTTGTTTATTAGATGGTGAAATAGCAATCAGACATTTGCTGCTTCTCATCATTTTATTGTTCCATATTAATATATCTACCTATAAAAACTCTCCTCACCTGTGTAACTCCGTCTCCTATTGTCTTTCTGTCTGTTGTAGCTCTGTCTTTGGCAATGAACCGGGATGGCTCCAGTGGTGGTGTGGCTTATATCGTCATCATTGATGAACACAGCACAGAGGAGAAAGTCATTCTTGGAAATGACTTGCCCACCTTCTTTGATCAGTGATATATATACAGTTTTTTATCGCTAGTTTGCCAAGCCACTGTCATGCATAATGCAATTAGATTTTGTTTTGCTCACAATAACCACCACACTCACACTTTTTGGCTCATCTGTCAAATAATTCAGCTTGTAAACTAAAAAAATATTGGACAAGGGTTAAAAAAAAACTTTTGTCATATTTGCTGAAACAATCACTATCACTATTCACAGAGCACTAACTGAGACAAATAGTCTGTGAAAAAAAATCACATTTCTCACTCTAATGCCCTGTAGCATTTCTACCACACTAACGAAAACAACCGATCAGAGCTGAGGAGTCTCTAACTCAGGGGTCAGTCACTCTGCTCATCAACTGTAGTCAAACTGTCAAACTATAGGCAATGCTGATCAAATATAAATCAAGATTCCATTACTGCCTATTTCTCAGGCAATGATGTTTACAGAAACATCTTTCAATGTGCTGTTTAGCTGTAAAATTAGAAAGTTGGCCCAGGTGGTGGGCGGCTCACCACCTATCACAAACTGTCACATTTTGCAGCTAAACAGTGCACTAAAATATGTTCCGGAAACTCTGAGGTGAGAATGCAGTAACAAAATCTCGATTCCTATTTAACCAGTGCTGCTTAGTTTGACTGTACAAGAGCAGTGATTGACATGACTGACAGCTGCTTGAGAGACTCCTCGGCTCTGATTGGTTGGTTTTGGTGCAGCAAGTAGATTCTAGCAAATGTCATTAGAAGCATAGGAAGGAGAGGAGGGGCTTGATTTTTTTTCTCCACAAATTATCTGTTGGTTATGATCAGAAAATTTACCAACTGTAGCTTTAAGAGACTCTGACATGTAACAAACAAGAATCTTACAGGCCTTTATTGATTTTTCTGCCAAGGAAAAACTACTGAGACAACATCCCTGCATGTAATTCTGACAGCATACGACATGGAAATGGTTACTGTGTCTATCAAGTGGTGTTTTTCTCTAGCCACCAGGTCATCAGAGGCCTCTTCCTTTCATTAAACTTGTTGCAAGGCTCATCAAACAGTCAAGGAGGCTGCACTACCAATTATGTTTTAATGGGCCTGAGTGGCAGAGTAAAAAAAAAGTTAATTTGACAAAACCTGCAGCACCTGTGACATACCTTAGGCCTCACTATAAATACTCCCACAGAAAGTTTCTCTAACATTAGCAGCAGCCCTTGTCTGTGTGATGTGTTCAGTCTGACAAACATTTCACCAAAAAGTGAAAGTCAGTTTTTTGCACCACCCAGGATTATGTCACCCTTTTCCTTTACTTAGCAGAAGTGTTTTTCATTCCATATGAAGACTAGATTAAGTTGGTCATCTGCCTCCATGATTTACAGTTGCAGACTGGACACAATTACTGCTTTTTTAAATTTACATTATTGTAGTGTATAGTGCCCACAGATTGTGTGAAATTTGGAATAAAATAAAAACCCTGTGTTGCAAGACATTTTTTAATGACTTCTTTATGACTTCTTTACAATGAACCATTCCTTTAAGCTGTTTTATGTTCTAAGGGAGGATGCTGTCCCAGACACTGACAATATATGTTATAACTGTAGTTTACATCCTGGTAGGATGAAGATACCAACAAGGAATTAGAAATAGTTCACGTGTAACCACTCAGTTTAAGCATGCCAAATTGTCCTGATTCAAAGTTTAGTTTGGTGCTCTGCAGTTGGATTTCAGGGAAACCTGGTGCTCTCAGAAAATGAAACCGAAAGTTGATGAAAACTAAAACGCTGGTCTCGCGGCAGAGTGGGTCATACGGGGACGACTATTGCTGGAAAATGGCAGGTAATACAGCAACAGTAATCCGCAACGTCGTTGCTTTGACTTTAGCAGTTTGCGTCGACCTTTCATTGTTTTACGCATCAGGATTTGTCGTGGCTCACAACGTGTTTGGGCATCTTGCGCGTCTCTGGGTTTCTGCGGCTCTCCGGTGGCTGGCTTTAATTGCTGTGACTCTGCTCAGCCTCGGACATCTTAAACCCTTGCTGCTTCGCTTTATAACGGTGCACAGTCTGCTGCCCGCGGTCTTTGAGACCGGGACCGAAGCGCTTTATCATGAGGAGACTCCGTGTGGCTTGCTGGCGGATATGAGATGCTGGCTGATGTGTGCCGGAGCGTCGCTGGCTGGTGCACTGTTTTGGGAAATCACCATCCCGGACACAGATGATGCGGCCGCCGGTAAAGAGAAGAAGCAGAAAGCCAGGGTGCTGTTGGTGAGAGTTTTACGCCTATACAAGCCCGACTATCTGTTGCTGCTTGGAGGGCTTGTTTTCCTGACGCTGGCTGTTCTGTGTAAGTACAGCATATGACGTTGATGATGATGATGATGATGATGATTTCAGGAGTAAAGAGATGCTTAGGAAATGAAGCACATCGATAATGGAGATAATGTTGAAATATCAACTTTGAACACAATGGAAAATATTTTAAATACTATCAATTTAATTTTAAGTATTTGCTTTATTTACATAAATTCTTCACATTAATGTAAGAATACAAACAACAGCCTTGGAGGAGCTGGTGGTGGCCTGCTCTTGGAATACACGGGACCACATTTGTAATGATGATAATCTAATGTTGATTTACCTTCCTGATATTGCTTCACCTCTGTGTGTGTGTCTTTGTCTCTTCTCAGGTGAGATGTTCATCCCTTTTTACACTGGCAGAGTCATTGACATCCTTGGCAGTCACTATCAGCAGTATAAATTCTTATCTGCACTCCTCTTCATGGGCCTGTTCTCTCTGGGCAGGTATGAGACAATGCTTTTCCTTCACATTCATCCAGAATCATGAATCTATGTCTCACTGGTAAAACCTAATGGACTTTTTCTTTGATTGATTGGTCAGCTCTGTGAGTGCAGGCTGCAGAGGGGGTCTCTTACTTTGTGCCATCAGTGCCTTCACATGCAGAGTGAAAGTCAAGCTGTTTGGAGCTTTGACCAAACAGGAAATTGGATTCTTTGAGACCATAAAGACAGGTAAGGCTCTTATAATGTAACTTGCAAATATACTGTCTAAATAATTTCTCAGTGCACATGAAGGACAGAACATGTAAGCTCTGCTCAACATAACATATAAAGAAAGGACAAGATGGGGCATTTTAGGACAAAATGAGACAGAACTAGAATGACACTTGGAGAGCCCAGACTTCCGCCAAGACCAAATGCCCTAACTTGCAATGTTATAAAGAAAGTGAAAAATAATTTGTGTGTTTGCCCTCTGATTTGATCCTTTTAGAGATTTAATGGGTTCGGTCAAGCTACAACCTTCCGAAAAGTATCATGAAACTCGTGCCAGTTGTTTTTTTGTAATCCTGCTTGCAAACAGACAAACAAGCAAGCCAAACTGAAAACATAACCTCCTTGGCTGAAGTAATAAAGTGACAGTGCAGGACAGGACAGGACTGGACAGCCCAAGGCCAGACACGGCATATTGGACAAGATAAGATCTTTTCTATTAATTTTCTGTATAGGTGAAATCACATCCAGGTTGTCTAGAGACACCAACTTGATGGGAAGAACGGTGTGTCTGAATGTCAATGTTCTGCTGAGGACATTCATCAAGACACTGGGCATGATCTCCCTGATGATGAATCTTTCATGGAAGCTAACATTCCTCGTACTGATGGAGACGCCCATCACTGGCCTCATTCAGAACATCTATGACACATACCACCAGGTAAAAGCAGGTTAAGAAATGTCAAATTTACATTGAGATCCACTGACATTATGTATATATAAGCTATTCATTCCCAAGACACTTAGGCATTTTAACTGATCAGAAAATGTTTCATTTAAAAATGATTTAACAGAGAGGTCCTTAAATCTCTCAAAAGACAGATGATGCCCAGAAAGAGAAAACAATTAATAAACCATTTGATGTGCCCTTCTGCATGTTTTTAGATTCACAATGATTTATTTTTCCTTGACCAATGTTCAGGGGTCTGATATGCCCTTTCATATGGAAATTATTGTTATTGTTAAAATTAAGATTTTACTGAAGTACTGAGATAAAACAAAAACACAAACAGTAATTGTCCTTTTTTACTTCTTCCTTAGCGGCTGTCCCTGGCAGTGCAGGATTCAATGGCTCTGGCAAATGAAGTCGCAAATGAGGTTGTATCCGGTATTCACGTGGTACGGAGCTTTAACGCAGAAAAACATGAGGCACGTCGCTATGACAATCGCTTGATGGAAACACACAACCTCAAGACCTTCCGGGACACTGTAACGGCTGTTTACCTGCTCTCACGGAGGGTGAGAAGTTTTATTTTATTTTTTCTAAAATTATGTTTGTTGGAGATGAGGTGGTGTTAAGCTATGGATGGATTACTGAATGGGTCTACTGGGCACAAGCCCAGGGACCCAAAGTGCCAGGGGGCCCTCTGGCCTGCACTTGCAAAATGTCCAATGTCAAATCAACACGTACCAGCCAGATAGAGATTTGAAATGACTACAAAGAGACACAAAAAGACCACAAAGAAACGCAAAGGAACTACAAAAAGACACTAAATGATTACAAAAGCAGAGATGTAAAGCCACCACAAAGTCTGCATGTTTTTGTCACACTTAGGAGAGGTGCCTTGCAAATCTGTTCCCAGGGGCCCACATATCACCATAATTAACAGTATTTGTTCCTGTGTGCATGTGTGTGTGTGTGTGTGTGTGTGTGTGTGTGTGTGTGTGTGTACAGTTGACAGGTTTGGGTATGCAGGTCTTTATGTTGTATTATGGCAGGCTGTTCATCCGGAGTGGACAGATGACCACTGGCAACCTGGTGTCCTTCATCCTCTACCAGTCAGACCTTGGAGACAACATCAGGGTATAAACTGCTTGGTCTTAGTAGGCACATGCATTCAATATATGACTGTTGAAAGATAAAAGACAAAAAAATGAAATGGTCTTTGGCTTTTTAAAAAGAAAGGGTATGCCATCGGCTCAAAGCTTTTAAGAAACCAGACATTTTGTGCCTGTCCCGCAGTAATCTGAGCATATGATTGCTTGCAAAACTGTTTTGCAACCTTGTCTTAATAAATGAAAACCTGTTTTAGTAAAATCAGTTTTATGACTGCCATCTTTCAGACACTCACCTACATCTTTGGCGACATGCTGAACTCGGTGGGGGCTGCTGGGAAGGTGTTTGAGTACCTGGACCGAAAGCCTGAGGTCAGCATGGAGGGGAAATTCAAACCTGATCAGCTGACAGGTCATGTCAGTTTCCGATGCCTCAGTTTCGCCTATCCTACATACCCCAACAAAATAGTGCTGCAGGTGAGATCTGACTGGCAGGTAGAAAAGAAGAATTCTTAAATTAAGACTGTTCATGAAAAAATATGAATAATGGGAAAAAAACAAGAAAGTGACAAGCAGAAGTGAATTATTAACACAGGTATTCCTTCCCAAGCAGTTACAGTTACCTACAAACGTATGTAGAGGAAACTACAGACACAAAATTAATTTTCTGTGTTCATTGTTTTCTCCTTGTTTCAGGACTTTTCTTTGGAGCTGAAGTCAGGTCAGATGACTGCACTGGTGGGTCCATCTGGAGAGGGAAAAAGCACCTGTGTGAGTCTGTTGGAGCGCTTCTATGAGCACCAGAGTGGAGAAATCCTATTGGACAATGAGCCACTGAAATCCTATGACCACCGTTTCCTCCACAAGAAGGTTAGTCGTTAGAGCTTTTTTATATTTAGTTAATGCACACCACTTTGTCTTAGAAAATTTTAGTCTTTTATCTGAATTTAAATAGCTTATAGCTTCAAATGCAACATAATATTTTACCCTCCTACAGGAAGAAATCTATTGTGAAGAATAACAGATCACTTTTTTAAAGAACATGGTTTATTCATTCAGCTGATGAGACTGTGTTTAACAGATTGCAGTGGTGAGTCAGGAGCCTGTGCTCTTCTCTGGCTCCATCAGAGACAACATCGCCTATGGACTTGCTGAATGCTCACTGGACGAGATCCAGGAAGCAGCACGCAAAGCCTACGCCCATGACTTCATCAAGCAGCTGGAGAAAGGCTACGATACAGGTGAACGCTTTCAACCACCACCCTTTGTGATGTGTTACATGCCTGAGTGCCTGTATACTGTAGAAACCTGCTTTGGATGTTAGAGGGAAGTTTAATGAAGAAGGAAATATCTTTTGCAGAGATGGATGTTTTTAAACATTTATTTAGTTATCTTAAACATTCATGTAGATTCAATTGGTGCATTATAAAGACTAAATAAACACATGCATTATTTTAGGGGGTTGGGGCTCACCATACCTCTAGTATATGTGTTTTTAAATCCTCATACCCTTCTGCATCACACCTTGAATCTCCACCTATTATGATTTTCTAATGTTGTTCATTTCTCAGAGGTGGGTGAAGGTGGCGGCCAGTTATCCAAGAGTGAGAGGCAGCGGATCGCCATTGCTCGAGCTCTGGTGAGACAGCCACAGGTCCTGATCCTGGATGAAATAACTAGCTCTCTGGATGCTGAGAGTGAAAATAAGGTATGTCACAACTCATAACACAGTAGTGTCTATTTATGTGCAAACCAGGGCCAGAAGTCACTATGTTTGTATATCAGATAACATACTGTCAGTATTTAATAAATGTATAGCGGAAGTGCTGCATGAGTGTAGAATAGGACTGAGTTTCTAGCCCGATAATAAAGACCTGACTGACAGAAATTAAATCTTTGCATGTTTTTAGTGTTCATAGCTCAAAGCTCTAGAGGAAGAAGATACATTTTCGCAAAACTTGCGCCACAGAAGATTCATGTGCAGTGCTTCCCTTTAAAGTGTGTCCACCCAGCTCATACTCATGTCAACATTGATATTTCAACATATAGACCTACATGTGGGGTAGTTGCAATTGTGCAAGCCAAATGTCTTTTACTGCTTAAAATTGAGATTAAATTAAAAAAATCACACATCACTGGTCATTTTGTGCACCTGTTTAACATGTGTTTATGCCTGTATCAAAAACCAAACATGCTGTCTTCCTGTAAAACAAAATATGACTTGTGCTTACTTAAGCAAGTACGAAGCGACTTTTAGCTGCACAGAGATAGAAGCTAGATAATAACAGCATGGTTCATCAGTGTGTCTTCCTTTCTCTAAAATACTGTGGTTACGGGTCATGGACTAGAATTTATTCACTTGAGGAAAGTGGTATCTGTGACAGCTTCAGATTATGCGCAATGCATTTTACAGTAGACTGCTTCAGCAACTAATGTTACATGGAGCACATGATTAGCTTAGCCTCTCTTTCCCAGATGCATATTACTACCTGGTCAGCATTACACTATCTGGGCCTCACTGTCATGACACACCCACTTGTCAGCAATCAAACCTTTGTTTTCATTTCCAAAACAATGTGGCTGAGATTTAATCAAGTGACAACCTATAGGGCTGAAAAATTAAAACAATGCAGAAGTGCCAACTTGAGGCTGGCTCCATATTTGCAGTCTGGTCCAAAAAATACCCCACATTCTTGGTCGCTATAGCTAATATAAACATTCATGACAACTGTACAGGGAGTGAATTTTTATATAACTCACCTGTTTGCATTTTATTAAGGCTTAAAGTTACACATACTTAAAGGCAAGGGCACTTGAGAAAAGGCTACATTCAAGGCATCATCACAGCCTATGAGTCAGATCCACCCCTTTCTCCTCCACAGCTCCACTTTCTCATCTAATTATAGTCACCTCCTGCTCCAAAAAAAACCAAGATGGCAATGGCCAGCACAGTAGCCAAGGCCATTACATTCTCTGGAACTGATTCGTTCATTAATTTCTCCCTCATCCTGATCTAATGGTGAGGGTGATGTGTGTGTGTGTAGCCACTGGCTGGCTCCGTGCTAGCAGTCTGCTGTAGTGCCACTAAACTCTTAATCTGCCCACTTTTTAGTCGTCCAATCAAATGAAATCCAATGGCATTTAATTCCCCCTCATAACTGTGCACCAATCAAATATTCTGTTTCACTGGGAAACACATTGCAGTACAGAAGCTAAAGACACTCAATTTGGTTTCACTGGGGCTTTCATAGAAATGTCCAACTTTATCATAACAAATGGGTTTTTCTGGCCAATCTTAAAGAAATGTTATTTAATTCATCTTATAAATGACATAGTTTTTAATGACTTCTCTGTCACTGATCTTGCATGCTCTATGTGCTCACTAACATCCGATCATTTACACTCTCAGTAAATTAGTTGTGTCCTTTATGTTTTCATTTATACTCCTTTAAACTTTTCCAAAGGAGCACTAATGTAATGATATGTGTCTGAATGTGCAAAGCCTGATAAGTCTGGTGAAATGATGCAACTTTATATATCTTTATTTATCTCTTTTTATTTCACTGTACACATTAACTAATATATCAAAATGTTTCTACTGTCATCCTTTGTCTCTGTTTCTACTGAAAAAGAGAAATACGGTAAAATAAACATTTCTGTCATTGACTCTGCACAGATTCAGCAGGCCCTGGCTAGTTTTCCCAACCAGACACTGCTGGTGATTGCACATAGGCTGAAGACGATTGAGAAGGCAGATCAGATTGTTGTGATCGGCGACGGCAGAGTTCAGGAGCAAGGGACTCACGAGGAACTGATGGACAAGAAGGGGAGCTACTACAAACTGAGAGAGAAGCTCTTCACTGAGGAAAACTCACCACAGTAACAAACTATTGTCAGTAACTTTATGCTTCAGCTCGATGTAGCCTGTGAGAGAAATGTTCTGTAGAACTATGCTGCATGTGAGAAAAAAATGTTAGAGAACAAGCTGGAGTTTATGTAAATATTTTTGTATAAATATTGAAATGAAAGAATATGGACCCATATGTTTTTTTTGTTTGTTTGTTTTTTAGAAATTTAAGATATTTGGCCTTCTAAACTACGGCGGTATACATCTGTTCTTATTTATTTTGCGGAATGTTGAAATTACATTAGGTATTGTAAATAAATCAAATTAAATATATGAGTGATTTCTTTCAGATGGATATATGTGGACAATATTTTTTTAAATTTTGTGTCCTTGTTTGTTGCTTTCGATGAATAAAGTGTGATATGACAGCACACAGTTGACACCATAAACTCTCATTTATAATCAACATGTACAAAGGTTGTTTCATGTCCCAAATTAAAGACTGATCAGTGGCATCAGACATTTTGTTTTTTGTATTTTTCAAGCCTTGTGTCACATAAGTTCTTTCACAGCAGTCATAGGACAAACCTAAAGGGCATTATTTTAAGTCTATGCAAAAAATATGCATTTAGTTTAGGTTAGCATTTAATTCTACAGTGAAAATTCAGAGTTTGCAGGTTTCCTGCAAGTTCATTTGGCTTGACTTGATTCATACTGCACTGTAGGATGAAAAGGAGAAAACCTATCTCCTAAAAATCTAAAAAATTAGATTATTCCATCATAATTGAGCATGGTGATTAAGAATTTCGTATGCTGGTTAGGTGTTAGGTGAGTTTTTCTAATCACATATCAGCACCTGTTGTGTCTATTTTATTTCTGATTTTAAGGGCTGCAATTTGATGCAGTCCAACAACTCGATGTAGCAATTTTATTTTATTTTATCTTATCTAGTATTATTTTTAATTTTTATTTCTATTCATTTTTTTCTCTTTCTCTTTTTTTCTTCTTTTTTGTCTTGTGCTGCTGTGATACTTGAATTTGCTCTCTGGGGGATCAATAAAGTATATCTTATCTGAACTCCATACAGTGGGGGTTGGGTTTTATTGTTAGAGCTAACCTGGAAAGTCCCTGACTGATGTTTTGTTTCTGGCAGTGAGGCATTTTGGAAAGATGCCTGGTGGTTTGTATCATAAACACCGGAAGTACAGTGAAGTGATAAGCGGCATATCAAAACACCAACCCCCTCTGTCGACAAAGATCAGGTTATGCTCTGGCAACATTCATCGCCATTTTGTCAAGACGCAGCCAAGTGCAGCCACAAAATGGCAGCTGAAGTCACGTGCCACAGACAAGTTAGTTCACATTTAAGGAGTTTAATGTATGTGAGATTTTTAAAACTTCAGTTATGTAAATGTTTTTTATCTCTTTTTCCGTCTCTCTGAAAGTGCAAATACAGCAGTAAGAGTGATTTGTAAAAATGTGGGGGTATGTACACAAACTGGAGGACACTTTGGCATTAGGATGTCACACTGAAACAGCTATATGTATTATTTTTCAGTACATTTAAAACATGTCCAAAGATTGTTTGTCCTTCTTATGCTTCCCTTGGACACCCTACAATATCTCCTAACTTTAGATTCATATATTTTAAGTTTTAACATTAACCAAAATGATAACATGCTTTGTATGGGTGAAAATTGATCTGCTGTTTGCTGTTGGTACTTATTAAAACTTCTTTAAATCCTATTGATTAGCTACAAGATGTGTGTGGACAACTGAAAACAAAGCTTTTTCTTATTTTCTAAAAAAAATCCAGCAGTTTGGAAAAACTATTCATCACAGTGACTCATCAGTAAACTTTGCCGCTTCCCATCAGCAAGTGTGCCGCCTGTGGGTTACAAAGGCGGGAGGGAAACATGTGGAAAGCAAATGCCGAGAGTGACCGCCATCTTAGGGTTAGGACTTCAAAAACCTTAACACAAAATGGCTGACAGCATGCATAAAAAGTTAGAAAACATAGGGTGTTAAGACAAAAAAAAAAAAAAAAAGATGATGTAGTGACCATGTGGGTGTATCTATCATTGTGATGTACTAGAAAAATGTCATGTCCACCCCCAAACCTCACTGTGCATTTACATGTGCTCTCTATGTGTCTTTGGATATGTGTATGTGCTACAAAGCTTTTGCCTAACCAGTTCTCTACCATACCACTGCACCACCACGCTGCCGAGCTGGAAAGTCCCTTCTCTTCTCTTTCACTTTCTCTCTCTACTGTGTTGTGTAATGAATTGCTGCATGACTCAGCCAAACCACAGCTCAGCCCAAGGTCTTGTGACCGAAAGCATCCTGGTTTGGTTGACACTCCTCTAACTTTTAGGTGTCCAGCCTTTGTTAATTATTTTTAGCAGTTGTCACAGCGATGTATGTGATTTGATACAAAACAACTGCCGCAGCCTGTCATACAGCAAAAATTGGACTGTATGCATGTTTCTCTGTAATGACCTCATTAACATTTAGGCATTTGACTGATGACCCCATCCAGAGCAACAGTTAGCCTTTACCAACTCATTTCCATGATACAGCTTGACAGACGGAGGAAGTTGGCTGTTGATGGACATACACAGAGACTTTAGCCTCTGTCCTTTCAATTACATGATATCCTTTCCATGTACCACCCCTTACAGGATATTATGAAGATATTTAAAATCAGGTTTTATCAGTGCCACAGGGCCATCTATCCTGTAATTATTCAGTGGTTGAAAAAGTATTCAGATCTGTTACTTAAGTAAAGTTCTGATACAACTGTATGAAATTACTCCAAGCGGTCAGAAGGGGCTTGTTAAGCAAAATGGTTGGAATCCACTGGTTTAATCTTAAACAATGCATTGTATTTTATAAAATGATCATATGTTTTTATGTGAAATCTTACTCTGTAAACTAACTATATCTATAACTGTAATGAAATAAAAAGTATAATATTTGTAGTGGAGTAGAAGTATAAAGCAGAATAAAACCACAATTACTCAAGTAAAGTACAAGTGCAAGGAAATTGTACTGAAGTACAGTACTTGAGTAGATGTAATCAATTACTTTCCACCACTGCAAATGTTTACTCCAGGTACAACCGCTTCAGTTAGCAAGTCAAGAAAACAGGCACCCATTAAAGGGTAACTTAAGTATTTTTAAACTTGCACTCTATTTTCCCATGTTTTTGTGTCCAAGTGACTAATGGAGACATTTTTTGAAAGTGGCCTGGTATTGTGTTAGAGTTCTGCATCTGGCAGCAGCAAAACACAATGAGATGTAACCACTTGGGGCAAAGTCAGTTTACATCCACTGAAATGGCTTGTTTTTGCCACTGACAGGCTAAGTTATTCTAAGTTATAATTGTTATTCTGTGTCTGATATACAGACCTTTTTGTTAAAGAGAAAAATCCTTTTTGTTTAACCAGAGATAACCCAGAAAACACTATCACCAAACTGACAAAAACACAGTAAAACAAAATGAAACTCACAAAACAGGTGCTGGTTTGTCTTTCCACTGTTCCAACAATCACCCACTCTGGTTTGGTTGGAAAAAACCCTGAATGCCCCCAGTTAGATCTAAAAATATGCTGGCTCTATGCATGCTAAAATTACAGTTCATTTAAATGGAGACTGGTGGGTTTGCTGATAGCCATTTCAGGGCTGTTTCTGCTTAAACAAAAAGGATCTTATTCTTTCATCTCTGAAAGGATCCTATCCATAAGTTGTCAGGTACTTATAATAATGTGAACCTGTCAGTGGTAAAAACAAGCACTTTAAATTGATATAAATTGACAGTACACCAAGGGATTTGTAGGATTTGAGACATTGGGGTCTTGGCCCTGACTTTTGTAGGGGGGGTCCATGGAAATCCTCATCCTGGATTATTATTATTTTTTTATGAACAAACTCTACAAACTCTATATTAATGCTTTATAATTGCGCTCTGGCACCTTATTTAGCCTTATAAATAAAAAAAACATACTTTTAAGACTTTTTTATTCATGATGAATTAATTGTGATGTTAAAAATGTGAGTAGCTGTTTGTAGTAAATATTGAGCAGAAACAATACTACTACAACTGCCCTAGACAAGAGTCCGAAAACATGGTTAAATGTATGTGTATCTCTTAACAATGGTAGAATGTAACTAGATATATTATCCAAGAACAAGTATGAATGGAATGACAGATTATTAGATCTTGGGCTTAAAAAAAATATATTATTATGCCTATTCTTTTTTTTTTTTTCTTCAAATATATAGCCTACATATTTAGAGCTGTGGCTATTCATAAAACATTCAGGGCTGAAGCCTTGGATGCTCAGGCCTAATGACACCACTGCGGTGCACAATTGCCCTGAGTGGATACATTGGAGCTTGTTTTGCAGCTGCCAGCTGCAGCACTTTCACTCAATACAAATTCAAAACTTGTTGTCTCCATTAGTCAGTTAAAAAAAAAACAAAAAAACATGGGTAAATAGGATCCAGGTTGAAAAATACAGAGGTTACCCTTAATTAGGTTAGATGTGCAACAGAAATTATGTAATAACTTTTAAACAATATTAGTCTATTGTTTATCTTTTATTGTATTTTATGTCTCTGAACCAATTTAGCTGGTTGGTACAACAACAAACAAACAAAAAAAGGAACTAAACTGCAAAACAAAAGTGAATCATTTCAGGCTGATAAAGAGTCACATGACAGATTAGCTTCACTGTAATATAATCACGGACATACAGTCTGTGAACATAATACTTGCTTCTCTTCTCTTGTTTAAACCAAAAGTAAAAAAAGGTACTGATGCAGCAAAAAGCACAACAGAAATGACACCAATGTAGCTTCTTTTCCACACCTCATCTCACTTTGTTTGACCGATGAGTTTGAAGAGAATGGAACAGATAGGAGCAACACAAAGTTAAAAAAAGTGCAATTATTAATCTTGTAGGATAATGTTATTCAGATAAGCAACCATATATCTCCACTGTGTGGTCATTTTTACTGAGCAGGAAAAT